ATTAAATAAAATATAATAATTTATTCTTAAATTAAGTTACATATTTATTTAATTTTAAACTATACTATTGATAAATATTAAATAATTATATCAATTTTTGTGTCAAAAGGCTAAAAATAAGTTTTAGCGCATTTTTTAAGTATTAATTATAAAATTTTCATGTTCTAGTATTTTTATATTATTACTTTTTTAATTTACTTTTATAAAATTATTAAAAATATTAAATATTTTATTTTATTTTATTTGTGAAAATCATATTTTTAATGTAATTTGTACAAACATCTCATGTTCAATAAATAAAGTTATAATAAACACATAAAGTTAATAACAAAAAGTAACATCGACTAAATTCATTGAGTCGATTAAATAAAAATTAATATATATATATATAAAAAGAATGTTACCATCTTGAGAAATGTAGATATAAAATACTTACAAATAAATTGCAGGACATGTTAGCAAGCATAATAAATTTATGGATACAAAAAGTAACTTGTAAATATAGTAAAAATTAATAAATATGCTTGCAAATAAAATGCGGGATATATTAGTAGGCATAATAAATTAGCAACAATCAGTATTCATATAAGGAAGAAACATGTTAGATAGTGTATTTGTTGTCAACGAGGTGGTGGATTATGCTAAGAGTTAAAAGAAAATATTTTGTGTTAAAAGTAGATTATGAAAAATTGTATGGTTCAGTAAATTGAAATTATGTTATATATGCTATGAAAGTTTGACTTTGTAAAGAAGTAGGTAAAGTGAATAGAGACTTGTATATATATGTGGTGGTCATTCATCGTTCTTAGTAAATTAGAGCTCCATGGAGAAAGTGACGATTAGTAGAGGCCTTAAACAAGACGATCATTTATCTCTTTTCTTATTTTTATTGGCAACAGAAGATTTGGGAGAATTGATGAGGAGTGTCATATCAAAAGGACTTTTTTTGGGAGTCAAAGTTAATGATGAACCTAAAATCTCATTGTTACAATTTGCAGATAATACTTTAATTATAGGCAAAGCTACTGAGCGAAATTTGTGGACGACAAAGATTATTCTACATAACTTTGAGCTTATATATGAGCTTAAAGTTAATTTCATAAAAGTTGTATTGTAGGGGTCAATGTGACAAACGACTTTCTAGATATTGCTTTCTAAATTGCAAGGTAGAATCTTTGTCTTTTCTTTATTTAGGCATCTATCTTAGCGATAAATTGGAAAGAAGACGTGCTTGACAAAAACTTATTAAGGTGCTTAGACGCAAACTAACATCTTGGAAGCACAAATACATTTCTATTGGGGGTAGAATAACACTACTTAATGTTGTTCTAAATAGTCTTCTAATACATTATTTATCTTTTTGAAAAATGTCACTGAGTGTCATCAAGGAAGTGGTGAAGATTATTCAACATCAGTTTCTTTGAAGTGGCGTGAAAGAATCGTAAAAAATAACTTGGGTTAAATGAGAAAGAATATGCATGTCAAAGAATAAGGGTGGTTTTGGTGAGAAATGTAAAATAGTTTAATTGAAGCTTGTTGGGTAAATGAGTTTGTAGAGATTTGAAATTTTCAAATTCATTATGTCATAATGTGCTACAGGCGTGGCATGGTTCATATGTTGTTATATTAGTTTCTTTGAAGGTGACTCATAATATTTCAGATTGGTGGAGGGATGTGATGTGGGTTTGTAAGTAAGCTAATAGATGGATAAATTCTAATGTTACATGAGTTCTTAGCAATGATTATTTCTTTAGTTTTTTTGGAGGAATAAATGGGTGAGAAATATTGCATTAGTGAATTCATATCCAAGGCTATTTTCAATAGTAACTAATAAGGAGGCACAAGTGGTGAACAATAGACGATTTGAAATGAGCCAATGGGTATGAAAAATTTATTGGAGAAGACAATTATTTTCATAGGAGAAGGATTTAAAATATTTGTGTGAGATTGTGGAAGGGAAAAAACCAAGAGAAAATGTGAATGACATGTTGATGTAAAAATGTAATGGTAATAAAGAATAAAGTATTCAATCCCCTTATCTCTACATTTATAATTTCTTTACTGCAAGCAGTGGTTTGGAGTTGTGTTTAGTGCAAACATTACTCAAAATTTGGAAGGTCAGTGCACTCAAAAAAAGTAGTGATATTCATGTGGCATTTGTTGCTTAATGCAGCTTCGGTGCAAAGAAATTTGACTAAATGCGATTTGACAATTCCATCAAACACTTGTGGGTTTTGTGATACCAAAGATGAGGATTTACTTTACCTTTTTTTTTTTTTTGGCATTGCAGTATTTCTATGACACTATAGTACATGGTATTCAAATAGTTTGGTGTCTATATATATTTACCTGAAAATTTGCATGAGTCATTGCAAGGGAGTTGTAATGGTGTGATTTGCAATAATATGGATAATTTGACTTCAGTAGAATAATATTCTCTTTAATAACGGCATGCTAAATGTCAGTGAAATGTTTAATTTTATTGAGTATCATTCTTAAAAGTAGCTTACATTAGAACTTTTGAAAAACTCGATTGTATATATGAATTGAATTAATAATCTCTTCACGTGTATTATTAATTCCTTTTAAAAATGTAATGGATTAAAGTACCCATTGTACTCTGATTTTATCTTTAATAAAAATATAAAATGTTGATGCTTAACAAAAAAATAAATATTTACAAATTTAACTTTTGTTTTATCTTAATTTTATAGAATATTTTTTTAAATTAAAATAACTTGTGCTTCTAAACTTTTATCTTAAAAGCTTAATATAAACTTTTAAACTCAATGCTATATATATATAAAGAAAATAAAATAATTATTAAATACTTAATTTATTTCACAATACTATAATATTAATATAACATAAAAAATATAAAATAAATTAAAACACATATTTATATATTACATAAAAATTGATAAATTAAATAATAATTTAATTTTTAACTTATTTTTTATTTATATAAATATTTATTAATTATTAAATTTTAAATATATATTAACAATTTTTTTTAATTTTTTTACAATTTTTTAACAAACAAATCTATTTATATCTATACGTCTATGTAAAATTTATTAAAAATAATTATTTAAAGTTTTATATATTTATATTTATATAAAAAATTAACTATATCATATATAAACTTAATTTATATTTGTATCATTAATTATTGTTATTTTAATGACATTTTATAAAATTTTCTTTTTATAATAATAAATCATTAACACACCATATTAAATTTGATTTAAAAATTAGATAAATATAAAAGGCAAAGTTAAATTTAATTTAATTTAATTTTATAGTATTTTTTAACATAATTATATTTGAAATTATTTTTTATGATAATTTTTTAATATAATTTAAAAATAATATGTTTTTATTTTTTAAAAATGATTTAAAATATAATTTTAAAATTTATTTAAATACAATTAATAAATATTATATCCAAATCACGTAATAGTTATTAATTACTCTTTAACTTAAATGTTTTTTTACTTATATTGGACCTTAGAATTTAAGTAAATTTATTAATTATAAGACTTTAAAAAATTTATATAATGAGTTAAGTAGAGTTGACTGAGATAAATTTATTTTTTATTACTTATTGCATTATTAAGAAAATAGATATTATATAACAACCATTTATAAATATTGCTACAATATAAATATCTCTCAACAATTTATACATCGTTGAGAGAAAATCGCTCTGAAATATATTAATTCCTGTGGTGAGTCCAGCATAGCGTAGAAGGTTCTCAACCCTTATATTCTTGGTGACAACTGACAAGTGTCAGCTGTATAAACATTTGTGTTTAAATGGACCTCAAATTTAAGATCCAACTCAATTAGGTTGCAGCTCGTTGACGTTCTAAGATTATTGGATTTGGGTTTTGGGCCTTAGAATATACAAACATTCCAACATGAATGCATATAGACAAATTCACTTTATTTAAGATTTATATGTATAAATATAAATAGAAGTCTTTTTATAATTTTTTAAATTGAAATATTTGTAAGGAGTTGGTTTTGTTTCTAATCATATCAAGTGATTCTTTTTATTTTAAAACTTTACTTTTAACTCAATGTTAATTTAAATTTTGATTTTTTCTAGTGCATTTTTAATTTAAACTTTATTTATTTTATTTTATTCATTGTTAATAATTATAATATTTTTTAAAAATATTAAATTTTAAAATATGTATATAATAAATTTTAGATTATTTATTTTAAACTTTTAATTTAGTACACTAAAAATTCACTGGCTAAAAGATAAAATAACCAACGTCTAATAAGCTTGAAGAGATGGCGATTATACGAAATAACCGATGTTCTAAAATATTAACATTAAAACATTTAAACATAAAGAAAAAATGTTTACAAAAAATTTAATAAAAAGAAAAACAATTAAATAACCATTAATTTTGAGTCGAGGATTTTATTATGTGGTATAATAGTATTCTTTTTATGGAATATTTTTCAACTCTTTATTATAATATATTTTTAGAAAAATAAAATAATTTGAACTCCTAAATACTAAATAATAATATAAGGTTAAAAAATTATTTTAAAAGCTTTAAATAATATATAAAACTTAAAGCAAATGTTGAAATAATATATGTAAAATTCAATTAAAATACTAATAGTTGTGAAGAGTTTGTATACTATTATTCAAGCATAAATTTTCATATAATAAAAACAATTTTAACTTTTAAAAATAATTATTTTAATGATATAAAACTTTATACTAATAATATATTAAACTCAAATTCATAATGTAATTTATATTAAGAATTTAACATAATTTATTCACTTGAAATTAGTCTTGTTTATATAACTCTAAAGATAAAGTACTTGTTGTGTAAAATCTTCGCTAATAAAAAAATAATACAAATTAGTTTTATCCACAAAAATTGAAATATTTGTTTAACAATACACCACAATACATAAATCAAAACTATCATTTTCATTTTAACGTATTAGTGGGTGACCTCAGACCTAAGACCTAAGACCCAAGACCCTAAGTTGTCTTCTGCTCTAATCCATTTTGTTTTTTCGACTTCGGTGCCACCGTTGGTTTGAAATTACTTTACCCTTCAACTTCTGAAGCTTGCTTCTTCCATCCATGAATTCACTCTCTTTGGGTTCCTTCGTTCTTATAAGCCCACCAGTATGCAAGTTCAATCCTCTTCTTCAAACGAAACACCAACCTTTTTCGCATACTCTCTGTGGCAATGGTCTCAATCTCTCTCCCATTTCTCTGACATCAAAACCCACTTTGTTGCGAGCCACAGACTCAAACACTGATGCCCCAGTTTCTATCCCTGAAGGGGCAGCATCTTTTGTTCCCATTGCAGAAATTATTGAAAAGGATTGGTCCCTGCTCGATAGTGGTGAACCCGGTCCGGAAGAGGAATTTAAGCGAAGCATCGAGCGAATTATATCTTCTGGGAAGGTTGAAGAGAGTTCGAGTGTTTTGGTTTCAACTGGGTCTGAAGAGTTTGTAGATTTCTTGATGGGGTCTACACCCTGCAAGTCTCTGTTTGTTGTACATGATTCGCTTCTGATATTGGCTTGTGTCAAAGAGAAATATGATAAGGTTAAGTGTTGGCAAGGAGAGATTTTGTATGTCCCGGAGAAATGGGCACCTTTTGATGTTGTCTTTCTTTATTTTCTTCCTGCGTTGCCATTCAAACTTGATGACATTCTGGTGTCTTTGGCTAAGAAATGTTCAGCTGGTGAGCTTTTTCTCTTCCATTTCGACAAGTCTTCAATTAGTTTCCTGTTGTAATGAAAATTTGTTGGTTCCTGTTGCTACTGTTCATTTCATTGCATATTGGATGGTAAGAAACACAACAAATCTGCTTCGGTTGTTTGTGGATTTATACTTTGAGAAATGCTAGTTAAAAACATTTTATATACTGGTCTATTTTTTAAATAGTTGAAGTACTTACTTCGTAAATTAACCACTTTTTAAGAATTGCTTTTAACTTTTTAAATATCTAATTAATCCTTAAAAGAATTCCTTGCAAGCATTACACTTTTTCTTATATTTTAGATGGGAACTTCATTCTAAAATATGAGCTGTCATTCTATTTACTTGTTCCCACACTGTGTCTCAAAATTTTCCTCTCATGAGTGTTGAATAATGTTTTTCTTCTAACTATTTTTTTGAAACATTGAGTAATTCTGCATTAAATCCATATGCTTCATGAAAAACATTCCTTACATGCTGTGTTTTCTAACCTATTTTTACACAAGCTCGTTATTTACTTATGACTTTTTTAAAATAAGATGATAAATTTTAAATATATGATTTTGTTTTACTAGTTGTATTTACACTTGACTTTATCACATAGAAAACTTGATGTATTCTTTTAGTGCTCCATACATTATTTACCTTATGCTTGCCTATTTTGAAGTTCAGCTCAGTGCTCCCAAGATGTTTTCTCCTATTTAATTTTGAATTTGACCTGTAGGTGGAAGGGTGATTATCAGTCATACCCAAGGAAGACAAGTATTAGAACAACAACGACAACAGTACCCAGAAGTAGTAGTTTCGGACCTACCTGATGAAACATCTTTACAAAGAGTTGCAGCTGCTTATTCTTTTGAAGTGGCTGAGTTTGTGGATGAACCTGGCCTTTATTTAGCTGCTTTGATCTACTCGGGGGCTTAAAAACTAGAGTGGGTGCATTTGAATACATAATTTGATCAGACTTTCTATATGGTGTTTGGCTTTATGACTGTTAGCTTAAATTTTTTGGGTAAAGTTATAAAATAATTTAATTTGATCGATAGGTGAGTTTTTCCCTCACTTGTAAAATCCATTGCATGGTATTTGGAAGGTTTTTTGTGTCTAAGTTGAATTTTCCATTCCACTTCAAACATTCCATTAGTCTAACAAAGCTCAACCAAGACCACCTTTCTCCATTCAACTCGAATCAAACCAACACCAAGATTCATCATCAAGCACTGCCATCCCCAATGGTAAAGACTCAGCATCCTCACCACCAAAACACATCCATATAAAAAACCACGATTCACCACCTTCTTCCCCACCAACAGAAGTTACTGGTTCTGCTATCAACATTCACGGAGATGTGGTGGCTTGCTAGACCTTGTGTTGGGATCTTACTAAGGAGGTCAACTAGCTCTAGTGGTTGAAGCCTGAAGGCTGGATGATGCAGTGACTAGCTTTCTGCCAGAGTTCCTTCTAGTTTGATCATAGAGCAAGGTTTATGATTTGATTTGGGGCTCTGAAGATGGTGATGGGTTTTCTTGTATTACAGGATGATAGTTCTAATTTTATGGTTGGGTTGGTGCTATGAGTTTTTGATTCCGTTTCTAGCTTGATGTGCTTCTAATGATCTGTGATTCACAGGGAAGGAATGGTCCCAAATGAGATGAATTTGCTTTTCCTAATGCTGGGAAATATGCTCTGGAGGTGAGGTGAGGTGAGAATGCTACATCTAGGTTTGGTCAATTACAAGGTTGAAGATGCGCTTCGGTGTCAATGCCACTTAAATTTGCTTCCATTGTGAATGAAAAAGGACTGAGGGTTTACATTTTTTTTTTCCTTTTTGGTCTGTGAAATCAAGACCTTTTAGTAAGGAAGCTCTCTTTGGTGAGAACATGGCTTTGGGGAGGATGGTGGCTTTTAGTGTTTTTCAATGCTAGTTTTTGTGTGGCTTTTGGAGTATAGTTTAAGTTACAAGTGCATCTTTTGTTTGAGGTTTTGATGGAAAGATAGTGGTGAGGTTCTTTGACGATGAACTTTTATGGGTTTGTTTTTGAGATTGGAGCATGTGGGAGGTTCTAGGTCTAAATTGATGGCGCAATTAGGCTTAGAGATGTGAGAACTTTAAATTGATGAGTTGATTAGGCTTAGAGATGAGATGAAAAATACGAAATTAGTGAGGCAATTACGCTTATTGTATATTTGAGAAGACGAATTGGGCAAGAAGATGAATCAAGAGAAGAAGAACGAGGACAAGGGGGAACATGGAAGAAGAGTTATGGATTTTTTGTCCCTTTTCTCAAACATTGTTCCATAATAGGGGAAATTAATTTAAAACCAACTGAATAATTTAATTTAAGTTAGAAAAAGTTACTTTGCATTACTAATTTGACATGCCATGTACAGGATTGTGTTAAGAAGCTGACCTATGTATTTGTTAAAACCACGAATGCAATTTTAATTGTTCAGAAGCTAATGTATCAATCACTAGTGAATTTGGAAGTTTATTCAAATTATTAGGTAATTCCCGAATACTATACTTAGTACAGTAAAAACAGAACAGTGTACGGTACGTAATCATTAAGACGTTGGATTAAACTTAAAATGTTATTAAACATGTTGGACTCTAGGAAGAGTGAGCTCGACTTTAGGATAAATTTCAACCCAGATGGGTCATGGAATTTCTTCAACAATATCTAGCATTAATGAAAAAATTAATGAAAATGTTACTCATAAAATATAAGTTAGTGTGTTAAAATAAAATTTAGAAGTTATTTACAAATAGACAATCAAATCTATTATTTAATTTAATAAAAGTCTAAAGAAGTGAATAGGATCTTAAATAATGAGTGATATGAAAAAAATTAAATGGAATGGAATAATGTAAAGATTTATATATAAACATAATATTTATTTAGATATGTTTGAATTACTTCTTTTTATAATGAAAATGTATATAATTCTATTCTGGTTTAGTATAGAATAAATTTTTAACTATAGAATTGATTTAATTGTAGATTATAAATTTATAAAGTATTTATTAAGCTGAAAGAAAATTTTATTCTATTATAATATAGTAAATTATCTCATATGGTTGTGAATATTGAATTTTAAAAGAACAATACAAGAAGAAAGTAAAAGTAACTAAAATGAGAATGTTAAGGCAGATATCCGAATACATAAAAAAGAACAAGATAAAAAATGATAATATATAAAAGAATATTAGATTAACATCTATAATGAAAAAGATGATTGAAAATTAACTAAAGTAGTTCAATCATAGAGAAGACCTTTGGAAACACTAGTAAGAAGAGTAGATTATATGACTCTGGTTGAAAGAGAGTCTGAAAAAGATTCAAAAAAATTTTAGACAAAATTATTAAAAAATACTTTTTAATCAATTAGGTTTTTGAATTTTTTTTAAGGAGTTTAATGACATTATGTGATTGATGTAGCTGATATTGTGGTTGATGTTAGTGTTGCTATTTGGTGGCTTTGTGACAGGAGTGTTAAAATGAGATAGTCCATCCCAATCTGTTTAAAAAATAAGCTAAATTTTGTAGTTTAACCTAATTAAGGATAGACTAGTAGGCTAATAAGCTAGCATGTCAAAGACTAGTGTAGGCCAATAGGTAATAAGTCAACCAACCTAAATTAACACACAAAAAATTACAAGAAATATTTAGAAAGTACTTTTATATTAATAAAAATTAACATTTATTTAATAAATAAATATTTTAAAAATTAAAAATTAGTTAGAAAGACTAACCCATCTCGGCATATCATTAACATACATTTTGACAAGTTAAAATGAGGTAGACTGAACAGAACAACAAATTCAAAACATTCAGCTTGATCTACCATTTTTAGCAAGTTAAGTGGGCTGACTTGTTGAACTAATCTTAATTTGACCCTCATTTTATTGTGGTTTCTAATTAAGCAAATTTTATTTAGTATCATCTGATATTAAAGTAACATTATCTTTTACCGTCATTATTAGCTTTCAATGTCATTGTGTTGTGTATGTTGCCTTTGTTAATGGTCTTTCTTCCTCTCTTTCTGAGGAATCTTAGCTATAATTTTATCTTTTCATTCTGAATGTGTTAGAGTGGTTTGCAATTAAAAATAATAATAAAATATTATCAAATTTTTTTTTAACTCATTTGTGATATAAATATATTTTGTATAATTTTATTTATTTTGATTTAAGCCATATAAATCACCTATTAAAGTAAGTTCAAGCACTACTAAAGTCGATTTAAAATTAAATTCTTAAAAATCATTTACTTTGAAATCTTGTTTAATAATTACAAAAATTTAATCTTAAAATTAAGTTCAAATAAATAATAATAGTAAAATTTTATTTTAAAAAATATTTATTATACTTTTTATCTCTAATATAATAATTTTTATAAAAATACTACTTTAATATGCTTAAAAATAACTTAAAAGACTGAAATTATTAATAATTTTCTCTAAAATTTTTCTTTAACTTTTCTCAATTCCTTTTTTCAAGATTAAAATCATACAAGCATTCTCCTCATTACATCCTTTAGTAACCACTATAAAACATAAAATCTCCACATCTAATTTCACTGTCCCTGCAAATTTTGCATGTCTCTACATGACAAAATCGTGAGATTCACATGAAAAAGAACTAAATTTGAATTCAGCATGTATTCTTTCCATCTGAAGAAAAAATAACAACCTCAGTCAAGCAAATGCTTTAATCATAATGACAATGTCAACTCAAAAACTCCAATACAGCTTTCACCATAGAGACTGCTTTGGTTTCAGTATGACAAAAAGAATTACGAAGAACAAATGCTTCATTGAAACTTTAGGGTGATTATGACCTCACACGCACAAGGAAAAAAGAAAGGACCATTAAAATACCACCACTCTCAATCTTTCCCTACACCCAAAAAATAAAAAAAATAAAAGACAATTAGGCAACAATTAACTGATAAAAAAAAAACTATACGCTAAGTTGGAATTTGCTGAAGGAAGCTTATTGTTCATCAAATTACAAGGTACTCAAATCTGCATTACCATATGTGAAGCTAGGGACTGGATTCCACAACAGCCACCTTATACTTCTCACTTTATCATTTTAGAAAATTGAAAACCTTAAGTTATTACTTGCTGCAAACAAGTTGTATTCCTCCATGATGGTAGTCTGTTTCTTATTGCATGCATGGACCTTTTCAACGTGATCTGCTGAACTTTCTGAGCTAAAATCTCCAACAGCACCACTATTTGAAGATGGAAGTGTCCGTTTAGAACTTGTTGAAAGGGCTACAGGTCCTCCAAAATGAAACAAGGAAAAGTCACTGTTATTCTCTAGTGACTTGGCAGAATTATCATGTCTACCTTCTCCATTTAACATGGATTTTTTGGAAATAGCTCCTGCTGGAGCAGTCCTTTCTGCGAAAGATCCATTAAGATGCTCTTGCAAAGATGCTGGCTTGGAAACTCGAGTCTGTTCCTCTGCATTTAAGATATTGGCTCTGGCAACAGGCTGATAAACTGGAACAGCAGGGTTGAATAAAGGCGTAGGTTGCTGTAAGGCTCCATATTGCAAGCAGAAGCGCGGGTCCTCATTTAAGCCATATCCAAGAGGGCCAGTATATAAATAGTGATTTGGATGCGGGAAGGGCATCAACCCATTAGTGGGAGCTGCCGGCCATGAAACTGGATTTTGATGGAAATAACTCATTGATGAAGGAACTTGAAACACTGGAAATTGTATATTTCGGTTTGACATGGGCGGGAGTATTCTTTGAGGTTGAGAACACACATTAGCAGTGGAAAAACCATTATCAAAATTTTGGGAAATTTCAACAGCAAGATTCCCCAATGCCTCACTTCTTGTACCATCCAAAGACGGACCAATCAGTGAGCTTGAACTTCTTGCCAATCCCTCACCATTTTCATTCTGGTTATTGTTCTCTGTGGCAACTTCATGACAATCAGACAAGACATTTTCCAAGCAAGCTGAACTGTCTCTTAATTCAGATTGCTGGCTAACATCTTCTGAATCTGATGTGGTCGATGATTCTGGATTTTCGCGGATTGATGAGGTTGTATTATTATCACCCTCACTTAAGCATGATGAGCAGTTATCAGAACTAAAAGTGCTACTCTGAGAGGGATCAGAAGAATTATTAAAGACAGAGCTTCCAGTTGGACATATTCCAGGTTCCTCAGAAGCAATATCTGTAGAGCTACAAGAACCTTCAGCTTCTACATGAAAATCATTATGACGGCTTTCATTCACTCTGCTTAAGCTTTTTGAATTACATTCCTCATCATCATTTTCACCTGAATCAACTGCTTCTCCACTAGATGACTTGATTACATCAGGCCGAACTCCTTGAACTTTAGTGGACCTCAAAACAACATCAGAGTCTGAACTACTACGAGGATATTTCTTTTGAGATTCCATAGGCTCCCACACTTTCCTTGATTGAAACAAATCCCTGTTTGGATAGTTCCCCATGATGATTTTGCTTTTGGTTCTTCCATTACTATCATGCATATAGTCTAATTGATTATTCTTACTACCACGATAAAATTGCTTCAATGCATCTGCAGATTCATCTCTTGTCTCCCGACTAACTCTAGTTGTAGAAGAATGTTGCTCAATCCTTATCTTATATTCGTTATTTGAGCTACAACTGCAAGAATGAATGTCACATCTGTCATTTGCCCGATTCTTGGAACTATAGAACTTCTCATTATACTTAGAACCAACATTTCGACCATTGGCTTTTGTAGGGACATTTATTCTTGATTGCCTATTCAATCCATTGATTACCCTGGAAGATGTCACAAAACTTTCTCCATAATACCTTGGCTCAGATCTGCCAACCATCACATCATTTTCTGAAGCAACTGCATATCGGCGTCTGTCAGACCACTTCATAGGCATATCCAGTTGAAATTCTTTCTTACATCTTAGTCTTCGATAAGAAAGCGTTGATTGTTCAACTGAAGACTGACCTGTCTCGTCTTTTGTATTTGAAATTTCTTCATCACATTCATCATAAGAGAGGTCTTGTGCTTTCAAAGTACCACATTCACTGGAGAATTCATCATCTTGGATGTGAGGTGAATCATCCCTCAATACATTACTTTCATCTGTTTCAGTAAGTGAATTCCTGCAGCTAACATGATCATTTTGCTCCACATTAGCAATTGCAGACAGCTCTTCCTTCAAAATTTCAGGAGAACAAAAAACATCGTTTGATTCAGAACCCCTTTTCTCTTTATCTTTTTCTTTTCCTTTTAGTCTTTCCTTCCTCCTAAGTTTTTTCTCCCTTTCCTTTGTCCTTCTCCTCTCCTTGCGTTCTTCTTCTTCACGTTTTTCCTTTTCTTCTTCTTCAAGAAGTTTCATCTGTATACAAAATCATATAATTGGGATTTAGGAAGTGCAATTCCAAGATAGAAACAAGAGCTTTTTCCCCATTCCCAACAGTCATTTTTCCTGAAGGCATAATAACTAAGACCTGCTTTTCTAATGTAATGATTTCTTTGCATGCTACATGCACTCGTTCCTCCAGCAATTTCAGTGCAAGACAAACGAATATGCTGTGTGCATTTTGGCGTGCTGTTCCTTCTCTGAAAGCCTTTTCAACCTGACAGGATAACACACAGTCAGCAATAGAACAAAACAGATAGATGCAGAAAATAATATCAATGCTAAACATGCCTGTTCTTTAAAAATAACAGTAGCAGCATCAAGGAGAAATTCTCTAGCAAGTTCGGGGCTTTTTGCATGTTTTTGGGGACGGGAGCATTCTCCATCAAGCTCATTCCCATCTTTGTCAATTGATTCATCATCCTGAAAATATATATTATAAAACTTAGTCTGAGAAATTCATTATGAATAATTATCAAAATAAAATGAACTACGGATAATTAACAAGGAGGTCTATTTTCTTAGTGCACTTATATAACCTCTTCTTCCTCTGCCTCTTCAGCATGCTCAAAGAATCTTCTAATACTTTCCCCTTTTGTCATTGTAACATAACCATCTCCTACAATTAACCTGCAATGTACACACTGTTGACCCTTCAATGAATGAGCTTTAACAGAAAGTTCAGTACAGCGTCCATCTAATCTCCAGGCTCGAAGGGTGATGAAGCATGCACTCAAACCAGCAAGATCCAGGCCACTGGCTTGAACACATCCATTCAATCCAACATTTTCAAATTCTAAAATGTCATTCTTTCCCTCAGTTGTCCCCACAGCCCACTCAAAGTGATGATAGGTTCCCGAAGCATCAGCAAATGTCTGACGCCAATCAGCTTGAACTGAGTCATCAGATACCTAATAACAAAAGCAAATGGATTGATGTTGTGTAAGGTAGAACTTGTACTCTAGTTCTCAATGGTAACTTGATAAAACGATCTTGTCATGCAAATGATACTTGGTACACTCTTCGTCTGAAATCTCAATCACCATAGATTTTACAGGATAGAAATGTGAAAGTCAGACCTCATACTGAAAGGCTGAATCAGCAACACAAAACCAGCTGGTGCAACGAGGTTCTCTGCGCATGCGCTTTAGTTCTTTTAGTTCCTTGAATTCCCGAATAACATTTCTTCTACAATCTCTGCAAAATCTCTTGCTATCAAACCTGATAGATATGGTAAATCATTAGTAAAAACAAAAGCCTGGAATCTCCTTAAAAGTGTACATTTAAGTAGATGTATAAAGGGTAAGAACAATCTCACTAAATACTATAATACTGCTTAGAAACAGTTTCAAATGATGACAAACTAGATTCAATCAGACTAGGAATAAAGGAGTAAACATTGCTTTTATGTATTTCTGAAAGAGTATTAGAACAAAATGTTGAAAATAAATGACAAAAATAAAAACAAATCTATTTCTCTAGTCTGACACACTAATTCTAATAGCAAAACAACCCACTTGATTATAGAAAACAGCAAGTTCTCTAACCAAGTACAAGGATACAACAAGCCAGCACCAGATACAATGTGGGAAATTTTAAATAAACAGTATGGAACATAAGGCTTCATGAATATCCTTTGTGAAAGACCATGGAACTCTAGACTCCAGAGACAAACACTAACAGAAAGTGTTAAAAAACTGGTAATGACATGCAAAAAGCTAATAGTGCAGTGAATCTGTTACAATATTTTCCTATTGATATCAGAAAGATAAAGTCAATATTCTAATCTACCAAGGTGCCTATGTCGCAATCACTCTGGAAGTGCAGAAGCATTGTCCTATTTCTTTGTCTTTCTCAACTCAAATTCCATTAATTACAGATCATATTACACACACTCCATTGTGTTTACCTTTCAACAAACCTTCTTACAAACAACATCCCCATCACAAAGAGGCCAGTGAACATTGATGTGTTGGCTAAATTATTGTCTAAAACCTCAACAAAAATCAGTAATCACCATTTGAGCAGAGAATGCTGTCTGTTTCAATTCTAACAACAGCTTGCCTGTTGATTTATCCTCAATAATTGTGTGAAAACAACTCTTATACAGCATAATGGTTTTTTATCTAATTGACCATGTCTATAGTCCACAAAGTCCCAAGTATTTAATTGTCTTGTCTCTAACTAAATCATCTTTTCTTATCTAAATTACTTGTGTATCCAATCCATATGTCCCCTGTATCCAATAGCCTGAACCTTAAAGTCAATGTTATAGTAGTCAATCCCAAATAGCTGCACAGAGCAGCCGCCCCAAAAAATGCTATAACGGGATTACTGCTATTTTGAAGACAGTCAAAAGAAGGAAGAAAAATAGATCAAAGAGCATTCAATCACTGGAAAAAAACTCTAATGCAAATGGTTTCACCAAAAAAATATCTCACTATCATTAGAAAAAGTCTACATCTTATCAGAAATAGCTTGGGTTACACTAGACATAAAGAAGACAACCGAAAAATGTTTTGCTCATGTTAGAAATAAATTGGGTTTTGCAGGAGATGAAAAAGATGACCGAAACTTGGTTGGAAATGGTGACTTGCACCAAAAAATTATGCTAGATATGGAGGACAAAGCAAGAATACAAGATAATAAAGGAGGTAGGGTTCGAGACAGAGAAGCATTCCAACTTTCAAAAATATAAAAAAGGGGTGAAATCTCAAGATTTCTCCCTTTAAAAAGCATTCCAACTTTTTGAAAGGGAGGCAAACTTGCCCTTTTGCACTTGTTTGACATATAAAAAGGGGACAAAATCCCAAGATTGTCCCCTTTAAAAAGCATTCCAACTTTCAAAAAGGGAGGGAAAAATTGTCCTTCTGCCCTAAGATGAAATAATTGCTTCTAGGGCTGGGATTTGCTCTGCTTTTTGCCCAATTCACAGCGTAACAACTGTTACAGTAAAACACAACGCAACAGCGATGGAATTGCAGCACCCAGCCGCTCTGCTCCGCACCTCCGCAATAGTGGCCGCCATAGCTGCTATTGACTACTATATGGTCATTACCATAAATAAAGGTTGTCCTACAAATCTATAACAGTCTGAATTATTTCGGTTATCATGATGTTTACCTAATAGCACAAACTGCAACTATGTTGGGTAATGGTTTTTAATCAAGCCATATCTAAACTATTATAAACAAGATTAGACCAAAATCTTCAATATCAGATGGATCTGGCAAGAAATAGATTCATCCTTTGGTTGACCCTGGGGGCTGCTTATGAAAGCAGACAGAAAATAGGCATATCCAACAAAGAAGAACTGAAGACACGTCACCCCACTGATACACATATAAGAAGCAATTGTCCCCCATACAGCCTATCCTTGACAATGTTCTCATTTTTCAACTTAAAAATCCATGAATCACTACAATACTTCTCATTATCAAAAAGAACTATGCAACACAAACCTTTCCATTAATACACCATTTTTTACTCTTCATTTACTGCATCTGTATTCTGTAGTATGTTGCTAAAACATTTTTTTAACTTCATGGCTATGATAAAAACCCCTGTTCATATTTTTTGCATCAATTGTCCTAGAATCCAACATATAGTCGATTACAAATCAATTGTATATAGAGGGTAAAAATATCAAACCCACAAAATCTTTATTTTCTCTCATTTTCCACCTAACACTTTAGGGATGCAAAATAGATAACTTGGATCCCACAAAGATAAGCTATACTCAGGAAATTTATGTTAAACCTTTCAAAGGCATGTTACTTATTCTTATTCTTCGCATATCAATTTTAACTGTGTGATTAATTTCAATATTAGCATTTATATTATTATTAATATCAATATTCACTTATCTAAGGCTTAACACAGTGCTAGGAATGCACAAATAGATAGGCACCTGTACATAAGCCTCTCAATAAAATCTTCTTCTTTCATTCTTAGAAGAGAAAGCCGAGTCTCCTCTCCCAGTGCTGACCAAAAATCCACTAGAGTATCACACGAAAGTCGGGCAGTGTGCAGGGCACATGTTTCTCTTGTCCCATGTCCTCTGCCATAACTGACTACTCCTTGGCTAATCCAACCACGGCCTCCCCCACCACAGGCATCAGGATAAAGCAATTCTCTTTCCCGCTCCCTTGCACGTGCCCCATCAAAGACCTAATGTGTAAAAAAGTTTAGCTATCAAAGAGGGAAAAGAATGGACAAGGATCCAATATGTATGAGCAGCACTTACAATTTGCAGTCCTTTCAGAGACTTCGAATACAAGTAGCAGTTCATAAGTGTTAATGAACCATCACGTGCTGTAGTCAGACCTCCCCAAGGATGGACAGATGGATCTTGAATTTCATCTTGACATCCACTGATAATGCTTGATGCATCATTATTTTGTTTTTTCAAACCTCCAGGTCTGTTGCAAGGAAAGTGAGCATCCACTCCTTCCTGTTGCAAAGATTTTCCATACATGGCAATCTGCAAAAAACCTTCTAGAAGCAACCCATTGCACCTGGAGCAGTACATATTTTTACGAGCTTGCTCAAAAAGGGATTGTTTGTCTATCCTCAAAAGTTTCTGCCGAGACTGTGAAGACAGCTCACTCCAGAACTGCAAATGTAAAACACCAATAAGAGACAAGGTATGCACATCTAGCAACTTTATTGAGACAACAAGATCAACATGACCTAGGTCAATACTCAATCTCTGTGAAATAAAGTTTTCAGTTGTGGCCTACAACCACAATTGCAGCCATAATATTGCAATTATTTAGGTCTATACGATAGCATCCGCTGCATTTATCCACAATTTCCTGCTATATTTTCAATTGCAATATAACCACAACCACGACTTCAAACACAATTTAAAACCTTTGCTATGAATTAATATCAATTCCAATCAATGCTCTTTCCTTTTTCCCCCCTTATTCCCATAATTTTGATAGTTGCTCACTATCATTGATAGGCAAGGAAGCCATACATGACAAGGACAAAGATATAATGCAAAATAGACAAGGGAATAAGAAATTTTTTTCAAACCATAGGAGGAAATGACAGGTAGAAAGGGTATAACATATAAAAATAATGAAATATTAACACAAAATAAATCCTAAAAATTAAGATAGAGATAATAATGTTTCAAAACTCAACACTGAATCATTGCAGAAACAAAAATAATATTATCTATCCCATTTTAGCGGTGTACCATACTAATTGGTATTAAAATTTAAATAAACAAATAAATAAAAGCGAAAACGGTAGGAATGTAGGATACAAGTACAAGTATTCAATACTGCCCGACACTGCCACATGTCCAATCCCCGTATTTTAAAAACAATTTTGAAGTTAGGGGAATTTCTTATTAATAACCCATTGCCTCAGCCAGCAAAGTATCATCAATGTCAACCTTGAGGAAAGCAATGCTTGCAAAATTGGTAAACATTGTTCAATCGACAACGAAAGAAAAATTAAACAGAAATGTTAGAAACCCCATTTAACATCAGGTTTTGTTATTTTACAAAGCATAAAAGTAAAGATATGAAAGAGTAAACTGAATGACATTCATCAATCACAAAGACACCGAAATGATAAATTCAATCCCCAAGAAACTAATCAAAGAATTATTTCAACTGTAAGATCCAATATAAAGGCAATCAAATCATCACTGTTAACACAATAATCAACACAAAAAAGGGATCCAGCGGCAATCGAAAAATCAATACTGAAAAAATTATAAAATATAAAAGAAGAATCCAGTACCTTCTGGAGCTGATTGTAGCTAACGTCGTCGGAATTCTTAGACCAGAATCCATTGGCAGAAAGTGAGTAAGGCAGCGTCGATGAACCATTAGTGAATTGTTCTTTCCTTTGCGCTAATCCTGGCATTTTTCAAAACTCCGCGAGATTCATTCGCCAATGCTTCCTCCGTTCATTTCAATTTTAATCGATTCTGAGAAATTGAATTCAATCAGATGAGAAAAAAAACAAGGATGGATTAATTAAACGAAACCGGCAATACCAGATAGATCGAAATGGTTATCGCTATATTGAAACCGAACCGAAAGACGGATTGGGCGGAATGAAGACGCAACGGCGATCGAAGAGGTGCGAGAATTGAGTGCGAGAGAAAGAGATAATGGAGGTAAGGGTTTTTGATTGATGCGGATGAAGACGGAGACGATGAGATTTGGAGGTGTGAGCGACTGCGTGTGTGAATGTGTTTTGTGGAGAAAATGAGGGAGAGAAGGATTTGGTATTTTGGTAAATTGAAATGGAAATGGTAATAGAAAATGGTTGCTCTCTTATAAGGCGCGGTTAAAACTCAAAAGCAACAAAGCCCATTGTATGTTGCTTATCAACAAGGATTTAGGCCCTCAGCCAAAAACACTATACCCTGGTTACATCCGTGGTTTTTATAATAAACAAAAAATTATTTTGTTAAAACTAATAATAAAATATAGATATATATGATAAATTTATATTATAGTTTAAAAAAATTGATTAAAATATATCAACAATATAAGAATATATATTTTCATTTAATTATAAATCGTTGTATTAAAAAGAATTATTGTTATTAATTTGAAAGTTATATATATTGTGTCTTGTAATAATTGAACATTGTAAATAATATTTACCATAACAATGTACCACAATTAAACTTTTATAATAATGTTTATGATATTTAATAGTCAAATTGGTAGCTAATATATTAAATAAATGATTTATTATTACAAATATCATATCAAATAAGAAAGTTAAAATATAAATTTAATTTCTACATAAAAAATTACAGTTTAGTTCCGACATTAATAAATATTTTTTAATCAGTTCTTGTTATTTAATATGTGTTAATAGTGTTAGACGGAGGGACTAAAACATTAAAAAAATCATAAGAATTAAAACATATTTTTTTAATTATAGGCACTATCTTGTCTCTTGACTAAGGAAAAAAATTTACTTTATTTTATAAATTTTATTAATTTTAATCTTTAAAGTTGAATTTAAATATCTCAAATTATAAAATTTTCATTAAAAAATATTATTATAATAAATATTTTTTTAATAAAAGTTTACTATATTTAGTTGTTTAAACTTAATTTTAAGGATTAAAATTAATATTTTCTTATTTTATAATTTTATTTTTTAAAAATATAAGTTTTTAATCTTCTAAAATTTTGTAATGTTTTCTTTCAGGTACCTTTATTTTTTTTTACAAGCTTATTTTTTAAAAAATTTTAGGTTAAAAACACTTATTTATAAATTACTTTTAATAGTTAAAATTTACATTTTAGTACTTATAAGAGAATCTTTTTATATTTTGATCTCTTACATTTAAAGTCTAAAAATCATCAATACAAGCTTAAACTATAAAGATTAATTTAAAAATATTTACTTATTTAAGGACTAAATTGTAATTTTTTTAATGTATAGACTAACTTAAAAAAAATTGTCAAATATATAAAAAAAACTTATAATTTAACTTAAATAAGAGTATAAATAAAATTTAGTAAATAAATATTTAAGAATCGATCTTTTTTTTAAACTTATTTTTATAATTAAAATAAAATATAGGTAGTTAATTTTTATCATAAATTAAATACTTTAATAATTTTTATAATAACGAAAAATATTATTATCTATTTACTCAACTCATATGATTAGTAGGTACCAGTAAATGCAATATTCAAGTGCACAAGATGAAATAGAATTGTGGATTGGGCCTCTATAAACCACTTTCTTTGATCATGACATCATTGTTATCCAACTCTTTAATTGGAAGTCTAAACAATAAATTGATCAACTTAACTCTTATATTACTTTAGTTACGTCAACCTATTAATGGTATGATCATCAATCAAATTGTTAGAATTTGAACATTTCAAAGACTTAGAGAGTGAAATATGATGAGCGTAGTCATTTTTACTACCAAAAGTGTGCATTGTAAAGGCTTTAAAGAGAGTGTACCATACACGTATTCACTTTTGAAGACAAAAAGTGATTACTCTAAGGACTTTATAGAGGGTACATAGTGTGCGTAAGCACTCTTATCACTTAAAGTGAGTCTTCCAAAGACTTATTAGAATGAGAAATATCCTGTCCATTATCACTCTTGGTGCCAAGAGTGAGTCTTCTAAAGAATAATATTGAGTAAGACCTTATGTGTGATCACACTAGATATCAAGAGTGAGCGTTCCAGAGAATAATATTGACAAAAATCTTGTGCGTGACAAAAATGAGTCTTCCAGAGCTTTAGGTAGTTGAATGTGATTACTTTCGTTATTGAAAGTGATCACTTCAGAGAGCAATTTTGGTTGTAACCTTGTGTCTTATTACTTTCAGCACAAAAGTGAAAGTTTCAAAAGCTATTATGAAAAATGAGCCTGTGCATAAACACTTTGTGCACCAAAATTGAAAGTTCTAAAAGCTGTTATGAGAAAAGACCCTGCGCATAAATATTTTGCGCACAAAAAGTAATCATGCTAGAAGCGTGATAAACTTATAAATAGCCTTAAACTCAAAACTAAAAGGAGCTTTTTTCTTTTTCTTTTACACATTGTTAGAGAGATAGAGTGAGAGAGGTTTGGGGACAAATTTCAAGGCTTAATTCTTGAGAAATTAAGCTTAGAACTTGAAGTCATGAAGATCTTCTGCATTTTCTCTTCTACTATTTCTTTCTATCATTTTTTAGAATTGTATTCAAAATTTATTTTATTAGGGATTGATGGATCCTATTTGTAATAAATTAATTGTGGATATAAGTTCTAGGTTCTTGACTGTATTGAACATTCATTTATCACTATTAGAGAGATAGAGTGAGAGAGGTTTAGAGACAAATTTCAAGACTTAATTCTTGAGAAATTAAGCTTAGAACTTGAAGTCATGAAGATCTTCCACTATTTCTTTCTATCATTTGTTTAGAATCATGTTCAGAATTTATTTTATTAGGGATTGATGGATCCTATTTGAAAATTGTAAATTAATTGTGGATATGAGTTCTAGGTTCTTGATTGTATTGAACATTTATTTATTCCTTAATGCAATTTTTAAATTAACTATTTAATTGAATTGAACTTAGAGATTTTATATCAACGGAAGTTGAGTGAACATCTAAGATTTGAATTGAATGTCAAGATTTGTGATATCTTAGGAATAAGCATTTATTATCTCTTGATCTATTAATTTTTCATTCTTAATGCAGTATTTAATTGATTTATGCCTAAGGAATTAGGATAATTGATTAGATATTAGGATCATCGAGTCAAGGAATTGAACTTTAATTAACCTAGTGAAATTTAGTGAAATTGATCATCAATCAATTAAGGTACTTAGGAATTTAGATCGCAATTAGTTTTACAATTAAAAAATAGGTGGGATCAAACCTAACTTCATTTGAATAGTAACTTCTTTTTGAAATTCTTTATGTGTTTGCTATTTCCTTTCTATTTTATTGTACTTTTATTTTCTTGTTTCAAACATTCAAACCTTATCAAATTTCAATTAGCTCAAATAGTTTTTAATCTTGTGAATTGGTAATTGATTATATCAGTCCTTGTGAATGATACTCGAAACTCATAGTTCTATATTTTATTACTTGCTAAAAGTACCTAATACACTTGCTAGATAGAATTATCAAAAATAATAATTTATATAATTGAAATGTCACGTTCATAAAATTGATTGCACAAAACCACAACCAATTTCTAACCTTTACTTTGTGTCATTGAGTGAAATGCTTCCTCTACTTCAAATCTTATTGTTTGTCATACCTACAAACTTGATGTAAAGTCATAACCTCTTGATTTTTTCTAATTGCACCCGTTAACTTTGAATAATATGTGTCCTTTATTCATGTGGGCTTTTGCTTAACCATTGCATTGTACAAAATATTCAATGAACTTATCATATGTGCATTTCACTAACAATGTTATTAGCAGATTTTGTGTCTCCTTCATAATTTTGTTAATTAAATCTAATAAGTTTGTAGTCATATCATTGTATATATGGTTATGATTGTTATGCGTCATACTTCACTTATCTTTTAAAATGTTATAGAACTATCAATGTGAAGATTGTCTCACGAAAATTTCACAAATTTTTCTCATGTTCTTGTAAACATATAATTATGTCACTAAATAAAATATGTTTCATAGTAATTTTAAAATAATCAATAATCAATATAAAAACTTGTTTTCCTAACAAATAAAATTTAAATAATAATATCAAGTTAATATATTAAAATAATAATAATTAATAAAGTCATCCACTCACAATAACAAAGAATCAATTAACTCACTTTTAAAAACAACTTTAAAATTATATAAAAGAAAAGTTAACCAACATATCTAATTACTACTTTAAAAATAAATTCAAAAATAAATTTTTAGATTTATATTAAGATCGCATGTATGTGTAAAAAAAAATTAAGTTTCCTTATTTTAAACTCTTTTTTTTTTTAAATGAAACAATTCATGTCACCATTGCACACCACTCTACTAAGGTTGCTTAGTTGTAATTTTTTTTTATTTATAAAAATACCTACAAATGTATTTTTAATGAAGGATCAAATTGTATATTCTATTAACTTAGTATACTAATGGGCTGTAATGATTAACATTAATCAATATGACTGTTTAGATGAAATATGTTTTTAGTCTTTATATTACAAATTTTTATTTTAATTATTTTTTTATGAATTTTTATTTTTAATTTCCATTGTTGATTTAGTTCATTAACGTGTTGTCAATTTTTTTTATTAAATCACAAAAGGACTTAAAAATAATAATTTATTAAAATATAAGACCAAAACTTTAAAAAAAATTATTTAGATGAACTAAAATATAGAGATTAAAGTTATATTAAGCCTTTAAATTAAAATTTAACTAGCATTTTAACCTTTAATTTAAATTTAAATTTTATGCCTCCTAATTTTCCTTTATTATATATATTTTAGTATTAATCCAAGATAATGAAATACTTTGTGAATTCACCCTATCTCACGTGATGTCACATCATCAATTTTTTTTATAAAATACGCACTTTAAGTTTCCCTTTACTTGTATTAAGAGTGTAATTTACTCTCTAACATAAAAATATGCAAACTTATTAATTTTTCATGTTTTTCTATTGCAATAGTATTTTTTCGATATGAAATCTTTATATTTTTAACTTAATTATATTTAATATACAAAAATATTTATTATTAATACTAAAAATAATTTTAATTTTTATAAAAAAATATTTTAATTTAATTATATTTATACCGTATAAGAAAATTTGATTGGTAGGTAGTCTTTAATATATATATTTTAGATTATAATTT